AAACACACTAATGTAACTCACAATTAAAGTAATCCCTGAATAAAATAGTACCAATACCAACAAAAAGTGACCTAGCAACTGTGCAATTGAAGCAACACCACCAATCTTTCTTCCCCCCATTTCCATAAAACCCTTTACTATTAATACCATCCTGCCAAAATATGAACCCACATTTTCCAGTTTCCACAGATTTTTTTTCCAAAAAAATAGCTGCAAAAAGGTCCATTTTTCTACTCAATCTTCCAAACCCAACTGCAAAAATACCGTAAATTTGCAGAAATGGGTTTTGACATTGGGGTCAGATCACGGTCAAACATGTGGTCACAGCTGATGATAAAGCAGCAAAACAGCAGTAAAAAGTTAGAGAGAGAAAGTGAAGAGCAAACCAACCTCCCAGACAAGCATGGCGTCCTGATTGGTCCCTTTCTTTCCCTGCTGGGTATACAAGCAGGCGACTTTGCTGCCTCCATTGCCGATCAATCTGCCCGGAATATCAATCTGATGGCCCAAATCTCCGCAACCCGCTTTGTCAGCTCCCGGCTTCTTCCTCTTCCACCGTTTCGAGCCGCCTTTGGCTTTCGGAGAAGCGTCGTCGGCGTAGTCCACTTTGCTCTGCTCCACCATATCACTCCTCTGCCCCAAGCTTTTCTGAGTCGAACAACACGAACCCATTTGGTATTCGAATTTATGCGGTGCTCCGGAAAAAAACCCAATTCGCCAAATCGGATCCGGAGATTCTTTTGTCGCAGAGATTCAATTCAAAAAATGGAGCACAGTGGAGGACGATGGGTAGGTGCACGCTTTGTCACAAGAGTCACAGAGCCATATAATTTTCAAATAAATTAAAACAGATATTAATAACATTAATACTAATATAAATAATTAATTTTGTTTAGTTAAAATGGCTCTTGAAATTATCACAACCCTTACTTTGATATCTTAGATATAAAATCGATAAAAATAGTCTTTGAAATTGTTCATGTCATTCTCATTATTAAGTAAAAAAACTTCGTTGAATTAAAAAAACTATCAGTTTAAGGGAATTAATTAAAAAAACCTTCAATCTAATAGACATTTCTTATTAAAATATTATAATAATTAACGGTGAACAATCTTAAAAATTATTTTTATTCATTTTAAATCTCAAAAATAAAATAAAAAGCTAATACATTTAATAAATATTCATGACAACAATGACCCATCTGCAATAATTTGTTGACCTTCTTCAATCTTCATCCACCTTCTTTCTGTTTTTAATTCAAAGTGGTATCATTTTTTAATTTGTGCCCAAAAAGATAGTCTCTTTTATTCCATTTCTTTAATTTCCACCTTTGGGAAGAACAAAAAAAAAATGCAGGAAATAAAATAAAGTTTTTGTATAAATATTTCAACCACTTCAACTGGTCCATTGCTTAACATTTAATAATCGGTTGAATCGTGTGACATGCACGAGAAAGACACCGTTGAATTGTTAATACCCCCACGGCAAATTTGAAAGAGACCGTCACTTGTTTGGGTTCGTTTTCGGGATTTAATTTAATGTTTCGTATCATTTAATGTTTAGGTTATCGATCAAGTTCATTCTTTTAATAACAACAATTAAGCTTTGTTTCAATAAGTAATATCAGTAGTATGAATTTTAAAAAGTTGTTGCTTTCGATTTTGCACCGAGTCTTTCGTTAACTTCAAGTACTCTATATATATTCTTAAACTCTCTTTTCAAGTTTTGTAGGTCTTTCTCTACCATTTTTACTCTGAGTCTTTGTCTCATAGTCGCAACTTCTAACCGGAGCATGTGTAGGTCTTCAGTGCAAGTTTCTAAACCACCTTAACTGATTTTCTCTCATCTTATCTTCAACTGCGACCATTCATACTATATCTTAAATATTCTCATTCTTAATCATATCATTTCTTGTGTGCCAAATACCTCCTTTCCAAATTTATCAAATTCAAAATTCATTTTAGCCATTTAATTAACGGCGTAACCAATTTATTGTTAATCGACAATTTTTTTGTTCATTTGTCTATGTGGTCACAGTTACATAACAAAACAATATTTTCTTTTTTAAAGAGATTAGATGGTGCATTTGTCATGACAATTCATCATTTTTGGATCATCAAAACTCACAAAGGTATTTCAATTTCTTCTAACCATACGTAACAAAATACTTTTTGATTCAAACGAATTCGTGCAAAAGATGATTTTTAATGATGGCTTTCAAAACTACCGGTTCATATAAACATAAGTATTATAAAACGAGTGATTAACTTTATATTAATTTACTAGCTAATTAGCGTATGAACATTACTAAAGAAAAGTAATAAGATAAAAAAGAATCCACCGACTCCGATGCAGTCGAAGAAATAACTAGTTGACTTTTGTTGTAAACGACATATGGAACTCTGAACTGTCGTTGTGCAAAGTGAAGTCCTTGAGATTCCACATTTTGGCATAGTCATCTCCGTCGCAACCGGAAGAGTTAAACTCTCTTCTTTCATGGACTGTCTAATCTGGTAGTGGGTAGTGACTCGTCAGGGTTGATAATATGACACGCTTTTTGTTTCATTGGACATGGATTTTGTCGTATGCTTATGTGGAGCAAATCACTTTGACAATGAAGGCAGCTAGATGCCGGACAGGAACTTGCAGTCTTTTCTCGAGACTTTGATCATGTAATAAGGGAGATAGCAAAATGTATAAAGTAAGTAAATTATTACTCATGTAACAAAATTACGTGATAAAAGATACATAAGTGAGTTGTAGGTAACCGTTGTGAGAATGTGAAGAATAAAGTTTTACATGGGGTGGTGGAACACACCTTGTAAATAGGGCTCACAATTTCTTAAATGATCCGTTAATTCGACATGAAACGATACAAAAATAACGGGTCTTTGGTCAACTTGTTAATGAGTCGGGTCATTATCTTGTAACCCGTTAATAATATGTTAATGCGTCGGGTCGTTATTAGGTCACCGGTGAAGAACCTGATATCGTTTGCCAGATATAAACATTAGGCAAGACAATTTCTTGCATGACTGTCAACCTGACACGAAACGACACGACTAGTTAACGAATTAGGTCGTTATTGCATGAGTTGTTAAGAACCCTTTAAGGTAACGTGTTTGACATGACACGACTCGTTAAGATAACGAGTACGACACGAATACGACAAACACGACCTGTTTGCCAGACACACTTCGAAGGGCTTATAAAAAGTAATTGTCAATTGCTTTTATGGGAAAATCTCAACTTATGCATGGTATCAAACCGTAAGTTGGCCCACATGTTAAGCCAACGCATGAAGTCCTACGGTTATACAAAATCTCACGTCATCCAATACGTGTTGTCCACGTGCTTGTGTAGAGTAATATTTTATGCTTGGTACAGATACAATTGCACGTACTTACGAGCTGGCAAATTCTATAGAGCATCCCCAGTCTCTACCATACAAGCACAACGCATGGAGACAAATAGTAGCTACATGAAATACACTAAAGCATTGCCCTTGTTTCTCCCAAAAAAAAAAAAAGCGTTGCCCTTACACTTCTTCTAGGTTTTGGTTTCATTTGTGCAAGGTGGTTTGTTTGGTAGTTGGAGTGGAATAAAATCAATGTGAATAAGAAAGGGAATGTAATCGATTCCATTGTTTGGTTGATAGTGAGAACTAGTAAAAGAATCAATGTATTTTATTCCATTACCATTCTCACTTTACTACTTTTAAATACTGTAAAATTTGCACTCTGCTACCTTTAATTTTTTTTGTTACACTTTCATACCTAGAGTTTTTTTTTTTTTTGGTAAATTCATACTTCTGTTAGATTTTTCGTCAAATTCTTGTTAACTGGTGACATGACATTGTGGGTCCCACGAGAACATACGAAACAATTTTAAAAATTAAAATTTTTTTTTCAAAAAAAAGAAGAAAGATGTTAATATCCCACCTCCAATAGCAAAGTCCCAAAAATCAACCTCCATCTCTATCTATCTTCACACCCCCACACGAGATTAGGTTTCATGGTTGTCGACGAGAATAAACATTGATTCCTTCAACTTGTAGTAATTATTGGTCAAGAAATCGAATTGAATCGATCGAATTGAGATGGAATCGAAAATAATACAGAATTGAATCATAGTTGATAAATCAAATAAATATGATTCTTCGATTCAAACAGTCGACCACTAGAAACCAATTTGGATAATATATTTTCTTTTTTCGTTGACGAGGTTGAAGAGACAAAATAGAGAGAGGAGGCTTGTCAGCGGCGATAATGGTGGTTTATGCATCTGTTGATGGAGGTGAGGCAGCCAACGACTCGTGAGCATTGCAGAGTCGAAGAGGGAAGGGAGAGCATTATTCTTTGTTTTAATTTTTCATTAACGAATTAATTTTTAATATTATTTTGTTTGTCAAGTCTGTAAATTTGATGGGCGTAGCATGTCACGTCATCAGTTAACAACGCATTTAACGGAAGGGCTAACAGAAGTATATACTTGTGAGAAAATGTAATTTTAGGAATGAAAGTGAGATGAAACAACGCAGGATAGCAACGTGTAGATTTCATGATACTTGTTAAGGATATTAAAATGCGAATTTCTTGACTTTAGTAAAGTGAGAACCATCTTTTGGTTAAAAAAACAAAAACAAATAATTGTAAAAAGTCACTTAGTACTATAATTTCGTGATTTTTTTTTTCACTCATAAGCAAAAAGTCTTTGGTTCAATTTTTCGCTAGAGACCAATCACATTATTGCAATCCATTGTCAAATTAAACTGCTCTCTCATTTAGTTTAGATAAGATCGTTTAAAATAAAAAGTAAAAAAAAAAGAATTTAAAAAAAGACAGTAACCGTTAGTTTCGCCCAAAAAAAGAAGCACCGTTAGATGATTTCAGATTCGCGCCTTTTCAGACGCGTGTCAGAGAGATCCACGTAACCTAACGGTTTAATTTATCCATTAAAAACGCCGTTAAAGTACCCAGTACCCAGTACCCAGTACTCTATGCCTGTGCAGCTTCAGGTGGCATAAGAAGTCAAAAGACTAGGTTTTGAGACGGGTCTCCATCTCTATCTGAAAGCCCGAAGAGAATTTGCAGCTGCCCTTCTCTCTCTCATTCTCCTCTTTGGTAATTTTCTCTCTCTAACTCCACCTTCTTCTTCTTCTTCTTCTTCAATCTTTTGCTAGCTTACCAAATCTCATCTGCAACTTCCATGGCTGAAATAAATCATTGATTGATCATTTCTGAAGTTCTTTTCATTCAGTAAAGATTGAAACTTTACTGTGATATATCAAAAGATTTCAAGTTTCTTTTCATTCTTCATATTTTTTGAAGGAAATTAAATTTTGGGTTCTGAAGTGAGCGACTTCATCTGATCGAATCAAGTGTGTATTTGATATATACATAATCATAATATATATATGTGTGTGTGTGTGTGTGTGAACTCTTGGGCACTTTGTACTGCTAGCTGGTAATTTTTAGGGGAAACTTCTATCATGGGATTTATTCATTTATTAATTTGGAGAGGGACAATTTTGGATCTCTCTTTTATCAGTTTGTCAAAAGCACTTTGTGAAGATTTTGACTTAGTCAAGTCTTTCTATTGAAAGAAGAAAGTATTGATTAAATTGAGTTCTTTGGGAGTTTTAGAAATATGTTTTTAAAAGTAAAGCTTACTTCTAACCAAATTCATCAAATTCTAGACTTTAGATTGACTACTACACCTACACCCTTGAAACTCAAAAGTGCTTAATAAATAAGTAATTTGAAAAGTGCTTATTTTGGTTTATGTTGCAGGACGCAGTTCCATTTGTGGTGTGTTTGGCTTCCAAGAAACTACCGTATGTTATTATAATTTTCCTTGAATATTTTGTTCATGAAGTCTTAGCTATATCATGGGAGTATGAGATCCTAAGTGTTTATGTATTACGAATTTACAATGCAAAGCTGAGAAAGTAAGGTGATTGAACGAACCAAATACTATGCTGATTGATACTAATTAAATAGAGTACTTCATTATGACGAAAATCATTCATCCGTTGTGGCAAATTAATGTTATGTTATTTATGAATGTAACCTGTCTCTTCAGACAGGTAAAATGCAAGGAGTACTCAAAACTTTTACATCACACGGAAGCATTGTGAAAAATGGAGTTTTGAGACACATCCGTCTTGTGAATCCCCTGCTCCAGCCTGTTGCGTTTTCACGTTTTGAGTCTGCTACGCCTGCCAATGCCCACATAGAAGAGCAGGGTTTTGAAAGCACCAGAATTGCAGATGTCTTGAATGCAAAAGGTAAAGGTGCTGATGGTTCCTGGCTCTGGTGCACAACCGATGACTCTGTTTATGATGCTGTTAAGTCGGTAAGCATATTCGAGCTTTATGAAAGTTCGTGTTCGTGCAATGATTTTACAATCTTTGGAATGAAGGATTTAAGTCATAAATAATTAAAAATTCCCTTGCAGATGATCCAGCACAATGTTGGAGCCTTAGTTGTTGTGAAATCCGGAGAGCAAAAATCTCCCGCAGGAATCATAACAGAGAGAGGTAGGCTTATGTAATATACTGATATATACCGTGCCGCACTTGTTTGAGATCATGATGTGAATGGTCTTTGTATTGGGAGCTGGATTATTCTTGTCTGAAATTTGTTAGGGGAACATGCCAGCTGTGAGAAATTTATGCATTTCAATTTCAAGTGTTTCAGCAGCTCCCAAGGGAAGCTTGTTTAGATTCGATTTCGTTTTTCTGAGAATTATTTTTGGAAACAATGGTCTAGATCACTTTGAGTAAGGATAACACCAATAGAAATTCATTATTAATCTATTATACAATTGGTATCGAGCTTTACTCTTGAAAGTAGGAACAAATTCGTAAGTTTAAAGGTTGAAGAAAAGCACCGGGCAGACTGAATGAGCTTATGCATGGACTTGTTGCTGAACAATAAGCTAAAATAGAAAGGTAAATTTGGCGAGCACAAATAGTTGGGCAAACATTTGGGAAAGTTTGAAGGGATAATGACTGTCTATAATTTTGATTACATGATATGCGTTGCACTAACAATGATCGGAAGGTACATTTGGGTTCTCCATAATTAATTGTATATCTGTTTGGCGGATAATTTTCAGATTATCTCAGGAAGATCATAGTTCAGGGAAGATCATCCAAGTCAACAAAAGTTGGGGATATCATGACTGAGGAGGTATAACTTGTTATACCCAATTCGTACTCCTTGTACAGGAAACTTTGTAATCTTACTAGGATTTACATCCCTTTACATTTGTTGAAGTTTCATGAATGTTTAACATCTGATTGAAAATGTAAAAAACGCGGTGCTTGCAGAACAAGCTTATCACTGTCACCCCTGACACCAAAGTTTTGTGGGCAATGCAACTCATGACAGGTATTATTTTCTGCTTCTTGACAGAACTTTCTAACTTAATGTTCCTTTACGTTATATTTTGCTTCCGTGCAAGGAAGCTGTTTCAAACTTGAAATTGGTGTGTATTATGCATAGATAACCGAATCAGGCACATTCCAGTAATGGACAACGGGAAAATGGTTGGAATGGTGTCCATTGGTGACGTGGTTCGTGCTGTGGTGAGTGAGCACCGGGAGGAGCTAAACCGCTTGAATGCTTTTATTCAAGGTGGTTACTAGATAGTGATGATGACGAAGAAGTGAGACGCTGCTTTAGTTGACATGCCGGAATGACAAACAGTAATAACCCTCGCCCGAGTGCCTGTATATATCGTGTGTTCGTTTGTGCACCTCCGGTTGTTCGACAAACAGTAATAACCCTCGCTCGGGTGCCTGTATATATCGTGTGTTCGTTTGTGCACCTCCGGTTGTTCGACAGACAGTAATAACCGTCGCTCGAGTGCCTGTATATATCGTGTGTTCGTTTGTTCACCTCCGGTTGTTGTTTGGTTCTGTACTTCCAGTTACTGTCTAATTACAAACCTGTGGGACTATCAAGTACTTAACAATAAGCAATGTTATGTTTTGCTTAAATCGTCTTTCTTTCTCCAGTCGATGGTAGCGCGTGCGTACCTTGTATTTTGCATCGCACACGTTTATGTCGAAACCATAATCTTGAATCTCGTTTGGTGTTTAAGCATGCAAATCAAGCTAGTGTTCAAATATACTCGTTTGAAGTGTTTTTAAAATGATTGAAAATGTTTTTTATGAGAGTGCTTTTGAAACTAATTCTTAGTAAAAATGCAAGTGAATCTTGAACTCAAAGCATTTTCACAAAAAAAAAAAAACGTTTTCAATCATTTGAAAAGACTTTAAATTTTAGGGTTTGTATGGTATTCTATTTGATTTTTTTTATAATTTGTCAAAACATTTCTTAAGAATTTCTCTTGAAAACAATTTTCTAGACTCAAAAACTTGTTTGGTGTGCGATTTAAAAATTTTATATCTTACAACTTAAACTGGACAAAGAGATCCAAAAAGAGGGGGTCAAGAGAGAAAGAGGAGAAAGGAGGAAAGAAAGTAAGAAATTATTGGAGGAAAGAGAAATAAGTGAGAGGATCCAAGAGAGGAAGATGAGCGAGAGAAATAACCGTGCGGATTGGAGGTGAGATGAAAAAGATAAAAAAAAAAAAAAAAGGGGGAGAGAGAAAGAAGAAACGAGAGAGAGAAAGAGAGAGATTTGGAGTGAGAGAAGAGGAGGGAGTGAGAGAAAAGAAATGAGCAAGTTAAGTTTAAAAACTCTAAAAACTTACTTTTTGTATTTTTAAATAATATAATATATTTTTGAGTTAGTTTTAAGTTCAGTTTTTAAAAATAATCACACTAAACAAGTTTTCAGGTTTAAAACTTGAAAATTATTTTCGAGTTTAAAAAGTTGAATTCAAGTAAAGTATTAAACATGCTCTTAGTTTTTACTTTAATTTTTTCACATGAAGGGGAACCTTATGTTCCTTTAATCATGTGGATCACTTTAAATTTCAGTTTTTACTTTAATTTTTTCACATGAAGGGAAACCTTATGTTTCTTTAATCACGTGATCCATTACCTTTACATGTGAATCTATTCACGTGACTCGTGGGTGAGTAAAAGCTTGGAGTAACATTTACTCATGTAAAATGTTGAGCTTATAAATGGCTTAAAAGAATTAAGTTTTCTCATGAAATTACCGAAAATGAATTTTACTTTGTAAACGAAGATTGCTAGTTACAGTCGTTCACGCAAGTAGTAGTGATTGCTAATTGTTAATGCATAATTAAACTCATCCGCATTAATTGATGACAGTAGAAGTATGTGTTGGAGCAATCATCCTTAGACATTCTTATTTCAAAATGAAAAACTTAATATATGTTTTTGAGTAACAATTTAATAATCATTTTTCACATGAAATATGGCATGGCAACGTGGGGCTCACTTTTCAGAAGAGTAACGCTAAAGAGATTAAATTTGTAAACTAAATTTTATAAACTAAATGATATGAAAGTTGATGATTGGATTATTACTTCAACATTGATAAGCGTGCCCATTTTCGATTGGTGACACATTATTTAGTTTGCAAATTTAGTCTATAAATTTAATCTCACTAGTTTTACTCTTTCCAGAATAGCCCCTGTGTTGTAATTTGAATGATTAGAGCATCTCCAAATGAGACATCAAATTCAAAACATTAAATTTCAATTTGATAGCTGACTTAGTAATTTGACATATTGTCAATATTTTTCTTTCACCCGATATGTCAAAATCTATTACTTCATTTATGTTTTTTTTAAACAAAAATAATAAAAATTGGGTTGTTATTGTTTTAAAAATAATAAAATAATACATAAATATGTTAGCATTTAAGGTAAGACAAATGGAATGCCTTTGGAAATAGCAAAAATCAAATTAGTAGATTTCAATGGTAGTTTTTTAACAGTTACGTCAACAGTTAATGGTTGACTGGACAATCAATCTAATAAAAGCCGTAAATTAGTCAAATGTTAAAAACACCAAAGTGTAATGTAAGACAAATTGATAACTTAGCGACGTGAAACTCACTTCAGCCTTCCCGTGTTATATTTTGAATAGTTAGTTGGTGTCTGTGGTGGTTTTTTGATAATTATGTTAACAAGTAACGATTAACTAGACAATCAATCTAACAAAAGACGTAAACTAATCGAACATCAAAATACCGACGTGTAAAACTAAAACTTCATTACTCATTTTGAAACTGATACAAACGTAATATCGTGAAATAAGCTTAGCCCTAAAAGTAACAAACAGGAAACAAAGACAAATACTTTTCTTGTGACAAAGACAATAATGTCAATAAATGTGATAAACCCTGCATTACAAATTTTCAATCCATCAACGTCAAAAGACTCAAAACTCAAAACGTGTCATCTTGCTCGCCAACACACCTTTTTTTTTTTTTAATTTTTTTTTTATGCTTTCAAAATCAAACCCCACCACAGGTGACGAAACTAGACAAAACTAGTAGTTTTCCAAAAAAAAACTAGACAAAACTAGTAGCTTTCCAAAAAACCTACACAAAATTAGAAAATATTGCGTAAAATTCCAAAATAAAATATCCATTTGCTCATCTCTTTGCTCTTCCCCGCCCGCGGTCAAGGCTCTTCAGCCAATCTCTGGTATCCTTTAATCCTTACTCAATGAATATTATATGGTTCTTTTGCATATATTTTTTTGTTTTTGTGGTCCTTGTTTGACTGACTGGTCCTTCCTCTGGATTTTTATCTGGAAAAAGCAGAAGAAGGTTTCTCTGCTTCTGAGTTCTAAAAAGCGCTTATTAACTTGGAATTGGAGTTAATGTAAGTTGTTTTCAAAAGGGTTCTTCTCGTTTTGTTCAATCTTTTGAAAGTTGAAAGCTTTTTGTCAAATTGGTTTCTTTGCTATGAAGAAAATAGGAGGCTGCTTGCATTTGTTGTTATTGGTCCTTGTTTGACTGGCTGGTCTTTCCTCTTGATTTCTATCTGGAAAATCTGCTGCTTCTTTTGCTTCTGAGTTCAGAAGCGCTTATAAACTTGGAATTGGAGTTAATGAAAGTTGCTTTCAAAAGGGTTCTTTTCTTTTTGTCCAATCTTTTGAGTCAAATTGGTTTCTTTGTTATCAAGAAAAAGGAGTCTGCTTGCATTTTTATTGTGTATGCGGAGCAGGGTTTGATCTGGAATATATTTTTTGAACAGTCTGAGCGTTTAATCCAACAAGGAAGAAGTATGGTGGGATTTTCTTTTCCCTTTGGTTTAGTGTCCATATCTGGCTATCTTGCCCCTGAGAAAGAATTTCACTTGCTGGCATCTGTCCTCTTTGGCATCTTTCTCTGCGATATTGTAAGTTCCAATCTCTAATTTAGTTGTTTATTGTGGGTCTGAAAGTTTTCTTTGAACCTCTTTGCTTGATAGTTGAGGGAGTTGCTGAACTATATTCTCCGTGGTCGAAAGTAAACTAATATTTGGGTTCAAATTTTCTATTATTGCCTTTCAACTCCATTTGCACTAGTAGTTTTCTGAACAAGTTCCTAAATTTGGCTTTTGATCGAATGATTCAACTAACTTTTCCCGAAGTTGATAGTGTCATTGTTTGGCTGCTAAATTAAACTTTGGTTGCATTTACTTAAGGATTATGTAAGAAATCAGGATTCATGAACATGCACCTTTGAATACATTTAAAGGGACACGAGTAGCCATTTGCGGTTTCAATATTTGGAATGGAGAATGAAAATAAAAACAAGTTTTGGATGAGTCTTTTATATAGGAAGTCTGAATCTGAGTGTTCGAATAATGGATAGATTAATACCGGTTGTTCTCTGTTGATGGCTCCAAATCTAGGTTCTTTTTGTTATGCTGTAGTTATTTTGGTCTATTCTGTGTTCTCAATGAATATTCTGAACTATGAAAAGTTACAATCTTTCTTTTTGGTAGTTTTGAATTTGATGAGAATTCAATCTTGAAGGTTTACAGATTAACGCGCCTTATTAGCCTTCTCACCGTTGAGGGATATGACAAACTCAGCAAAGCAGAAAAAGTTGAATGGAACAACCGGTGAATATCTTCTGCGAGTCACAGATTGAGTTTCTTGATTTTGATTTTTACTTTTTGGGATAAGAATTCTCTTGAATTTCGTCAAGAATACTAGTATTGATTATTTTTTCCTCCTTTCCTGTACAGGGGGTTCTCAACTGTTCATGCTATTGCCGTAGCATTTGCATCATTTTACCTTGTAGTGTTGTCAGATACTTTTCATGAGGATCATCGTGATGAGCCAATCATTAGCAGAAGATCTACCTTTTCAAATACAACATTGGGGGTATGCAAATGCAGAAAGAAGCATTCATTCATGGCTTAATTTCTATCTACTCCCAGAAAATTTTATGTCTCTCCGCTTATGAATTTTGAATCAATTTGACTGTGCTGCAACATGTCAATTACTCTTCTGATACAGTTGGTTTTGTTGACTGTCAAACATGTTCTGTAGCACATCAAAACAAATGAGCTAAATTATCTCTTACGTTTTTCATCTGCGACTCTGTGTCTACCCGTACCATCCTCGTGTGAAGTTTTCTTCACATCCTCTTACAACCCGAATTGATTACTTTGAGCTAAATTAAACTGATAATAGAAAACCCAAAAACTTGTTCTTAATTGTTTTCACTAATGCAGAAATTTTTTACATTTTGCTCTGCATACGCATGTTTTTGCAAATGCGCAAGTGCACACCTACATGCACATGGGTTAGGCAACTGAACATTAACATCTTATGTCAATTACATCTGCCGGGTTGTTTGACCCAAGTTAAGCCTAAATGCAATCAAACTAACATGAACCTCTTAATGGAAGATTGGTTTGAGTGTAGTATTCGGTTTGTATGAAAAATTGCAGCTCCTATTCTTCATGTTTCATGTTCAGTTCTATGCACAATGACAGTTTCTCAATCAATAAGCGACTTTCAAATGCCCCTACTGTAATTTACAATTTTCTGGGTGCAGACACTTATTATTGTAACTAATTTTATTGGGTACTTTTTGCAGATCTCCATCGGATATTTTCTGTCAGACTTGGGAATGATTTTGTGGTATTTTCCTGCTTTAGGTGGACTGGAGTATGTGAGTACATAGATGAAGGATATTGCCTGTTTGATAAACATAACAATCTCTTCTAGGCTATTTTTATTAAAACCTTAAACCATATATTTTGGTTCTAAAATTAACTCGGTGAAGTTTGGTAAAAAAAAAAAAGTTGCATTTTAACGCCTCAGTTGAATCACTATCGTGGTTTAATAATTTCGGGAGGTTATCTTACCATTCAAGTTTGAATGCAAGTCAAATTCTGTATTAACTGGTACGATGATGTTCATCTGTTTTATCTTGTTTAGGTTTTGCATCATGCACTATCTATGTACTCGATCTTTCTCTCCCTTTTAAGTGGAAAAGGCCACATTTACATACTAATGGTTCTGTTCTCTGAGAGCACGACTCCTTTCGTAAACATGAGATGGTGAGTGTAACATTTGGTAATCGCTTAAATCTCCTGTTCTTGGTTGTCGTTATTGGATGATTCATGCGATTGCATACTCAGGTACTTGGATGTTGCTGGTAAGAAGAACTCTAACCTGTACGTCGTCAATGGCGCAGCATTGTTCCTGGGGTGGCTGGTAATGTCGAACTAACTCAATACGTTTGTTTCCTTTTAATCTTCGTGCGTTGTTATATGAGTTAACATCTTCGTGCGTTGTTTAACTTAATTTACTTCATTTCCATCAAGTAACGTAATTTGTAACGTCTTAACGGTTGATTTCCACCAATTCATTCAGGTGGCAAGGATTCTTTTGTTCATTTACTTTTTCGTCCACTTGTTTATCCATTTCAATCAAGTGAGTCCGTTCTGCATACCCTTTCATCTTCCTTGTTAACAGAACAACTTAAGATTCCAACCTACGAAAAATTCGGTACTTATCATCTCGGCATTCGTTCAGGTCAAGACAATTTTCCCTCTGGGATTTTACAGCTTGTTCCTGGTGGCTCCAATGCTGGCTACAATGAATCTCATTTGGTTTTGGAAGATCACCAAAGGTTTGATCAAAACTGTTTCCAAGGCCAAACACAGTCAGTGATCCTTCTATCTCGAGAGTCGGGAATTCGACGTACCCCGATGTCCATTAGTCGTACGTCTTCTTCCCTTGTTTCTTGATTGAATGTGAAAGATGAATAGAACAATCACTAGATGTGGATAATTTGATGGTACATAAATATCTGCCACAAAGTTTTGGTTCTCAAATCAACGTTTATGTCATTTTTTGGTTACTATTGGAGATTAAACTCGAAAACTAGACCCGACGAAATCATATACTGCACCATTTTTCACGAAGAGTTCGGGACCTTCGGGTCAAATGTCGAGTGATTTTCAGACACCAATTTTCTCTCAATGTACAACTTGTTTACTTTTAGCATTTGAATTGAATAAAACTAAGAAAACTCAATTGATAGATATAAATAGACGTGTACAGAAATTATTTTTCGTTTGTTTTCCTGGTCAAATGTTAGTTTAATTTAGGACTTGTGTGAACAACTTTTCTTAAAGTGCATATTTTTTTTCTATACTATTATTAAGTGAAGCCTCATTGTCAACTTTTTTCCCCTTTTTTTTTCCTATTTAGTCTTCCTTATGTAAATATTGTGTATCAAAAGTGTTATTAAGAGAAGCCTCCTTGTCAACTTCTTTCCCTTTTTTTTCCTATTTTGTCATCCTTATGTAAATATTGTGTATTAAAAGTGTTATTAAGAGAAGTCTCATTGTCAACTTTTTTTTCTTTTTTTATTTCCTTATTTTGTCTTCCTTATGTAAATATTGTGTATTAAAAGTGAGAGTAAAATTGGAAAAATAAGTATATGATTTTCATTTTCTCAAAAGAAAAAAAGAGGGTAAAATAGGAAAAATAAGGATATGATTGTCATTTTGTTAAAAGGTACAAAATTACTATTTTGCCCTCCTTTTTGTCAATAGTGTATCAAAAGTGAGGGCAAAATAAGAAAAAAAAAAAAAAACAAAGTTGACAAGGGTTCTCTTAATAATATAGATAGATAGATTACCCCATGCTTTTTTATAGAACTACCCTCTTACTCATCCATAAAGCAAAAGTCCAGTAGGTTGAAATACTATTCGGATTCCCCTTCCCCAATATATATATCTCTATTAATTAATAAAATACTCATTGTCAACTAAAATCTTATGAAATTATTAGTTTAACCCTCTAATTAAAACAGAACATGAGTAAGAAATATGAGGCAGAAATGTAATTTCACACAATCAAAATTTGTTTTTTTTTCAAAGTCTCACCTACGTGTAATCTTAACATCTGTAATTTAAAAAAAAAAAAAAACTTCCCACTCCCACATACTCTCTTCTCCTCTCATTCTATTTGAAAAACAAAAATAAAAAATTTTCTCACACACTTTATGTGTGTCCGTATCCTAGTATATATAGAAAGAACCTCCAAAAGTAACAAAACTCTTACCTTAATAAACAATGTGATTCGAATAATACACCTCCAGTATATATGCCGCCCCATCTGTTCTTTTGGTTAGAAAGAGAATATTAGGAATAAAAAAGTTAGCAATAAACTACCGAAAACGAAAAGAGTAAGTCATTGCCTGAAAGAGAGAGTCGGTTCCTTGCACACACTACAATGACATCATGCGCTAATTAAATAAAAAATTACGTAAGTTTTTTGTTCACGTATCTTTGTTTTATTTGCACAACTTAACTAAAATAGCATACTCAAATTTTATTCCGGTAATGACGAAACTTGTGGGCAAGTAAGTGAGAGAGAAAGGCTAAAAGCTCCCAACTTTCCACCTAGACCCACTTTTTGCTAACTCCCAAATTCCCAATTCAAATCGGGTCATTCAAAAGTCAAACTCTTTCAGTGTGCCATGTGTGTGTGAGGAGAGAATGGTGGCCGAGGAGACTATTAGTTGGAATAGGAACGTTGAACCTTAGAGAGAGAGAGTTGTAGAGAGAGGGATTCGGATTCTTTCTCCTTCTATTTTTTCGTTCGTCTAGCCTTTTTTTATTTAAAAATTTGTCATTAAGTCATGTCAGTTGATTCTTTTATAGTCTCTTATTCAAATGTTCGTGCCGACGTCTGTTGATTTTTTTTTTTATAAAAAAAGAAAGACAAAATAAAAAACGAAAAACAGTAAATGAGAAGAGATTTGAAGAGGAAAAAATACGACTCGAGAAACTGAGAGAGAGAGAGAGAGCCCCATTGGCTGGTGCTATATTTATCCACCACAACGACCAAGGACTGAGAAAATGAAGAGGAAACCAAGTTTTTTAAGTAATTTTTTTTTCTCGTCCTTTCTTTGTATCGGGAGAGACATATGAACCAACGGAGTTGGCGGTCCGTTTTTGCTTCTTTGCCCTGTAAACTGCAGCGTTTCTGCCTCCTGTCCTCCTATTATTTATTTCCCTCTTTTTCTTGTGATATCCTTCCATGGCTTAAAGATTGCTCCTTTCTTTCCCTTTTCGATTCCAAATCGCACGTTTCCCAAAACCCATTTCTTCAGTTCCCTAAAGGATTCATGGGTAGCGTAGGTTTGCAAGTTTTGAATAGGAAAAGAGGATTATAGAGAGAGATAGAGGGGGAGCTGTGAGTCACAGACAGGTGAGGTGAGTGGGAAGTTTTGAAGGTGTGGGCAGAATGTGGAGGTGGTGCAGTGGTGTGTTGGTGAGACATTTGGGGGTGGGGAAGCCCAACGGCGCCAACCCATGTTTTGGATTCAAGGGTTTTGCTAACCGGGAATGTGGGTTGTTGAATATTCCTGCAACTTCGTCTCTGGCGCTGATTCCGAGGAGAAGAATGTCGTCTTCTAATGATTTCAGCAGCGGTGGGGGTGGCGGAGTAGGAGGAGGAGGAGGAGCAGATCTGGGCAGAGGAGTAGGAGAGACGATATCGTCTTCGGAGGCCAAGAGGATGATGAGGCTGGTGAATGTGGAGGCTTTGAAGGCAAAGCTTGGGACAGAAGGGAAAGAGGCAATACCGTATTCTGATCTTCTGGAGGCGTGCCAGAGCATTGGGGTTGCCAGATCTCCGGAGGAGGCTGCGGCTTTTGCTCGGGTTCTCGACGAGGCCGGCGTCATCATCCTCTTCCGGGACAAGGTTCTCCTCCATCCTAATAGGGTATGAAACCTCCTCCCCTCAACTTCGTAATGTTCTTCTAGCTTGTTCAGAATGAAATTTTGCCTTCGTGTGTTGATAATATTCTAAACTACTCTAATTTACGCGGAGGACGAAGGTTTGAACTCGGGTGCAAAAGGGTTTGTTTTTGGGACATGTTTATCTCCAATTGTTATTCTAATTCCCTTAACTTTTTCTGCTGTTTTATTTTCACTGCCTGCTTTAAATACTAATTCTAATCACGGGATTAATAAGTAGTGTGGATCGCATGTTTTCTCGGCTTCCAAATTGATGGGAGAGGAAATTAAGTTTAGATTATCTTCCGACATGGAAACTTTAGTAAGTTTCAAGTAATTATGTATCATCTGTAGGAGGAGATACACTGGGTTTCGTGTTATTTAATTCCCTGTTAGGTCTTCATTACGCCATCAAACAGCTCAAATAAGTTAGCTACTACATGGAATGCAATGGCGTTCTAGGTTTCATATAGCCGACCCCACTTAGTGGGAAAAGGCTTTGTTGTTGTTGTTTGTGCTTCAGAATTTGGTTATATCCCATAAACCTGCCTTTTTTGACTTTTTGCTGCGTTTTACATGGCGGTGAAGGTTTCTAGTTCTTCCAAAATTACCTATCCAAACACAGCATAGGATTTCGATATTCTGTTGGGGTTGAATCTAGTTGCTTTTAGCTTCTGTTTTTCGTTCGTGATTGCAAATGTGATTGTTTTATTTTAATACTTGGCAGTTGTGTGGACATCTCATCTTTCAAGTCTAATGCAGAGATTTGGAATTGATCAAATATAGGATCTGATATGTGATTCTTGCATTGGATATGAATTAAGAATCTGAGCTGGTTACAAGAGATTTCTCGAACACAATATATATGTTTAGAAGCCTTACATTACATTGACTCATACCGCTGCATTTCATTCTTAACTTCCAGGTTGTGGAGCTAGTTCGAAAAGCAGTACCCCTTTCTTTGACTCCAGAAGATGACCCCTTGTGGGAGGAGTTAAAACAGCTGCAGAAGAAGAAGGAAGAAATTGATGTACTGGCACATAAGCATGTCCGGCGCGTTCTCTGGTTTGGCCTGGGGGTTGTCCTGGCACAGCTCGGGCTCTTTTTCAGGCTAACATATTGGGACTTCTCATGGGACGTAGTGGAACCACTCGCGTACTTCACTACGACTTCTTACATTGGCATAGGCTATGCCTACTTCTTGATCACGTCAAGGGATCCGACTTACCAAGATCTGATGAAGAGGCTCTTTATCAGGAGGCAGAGGAAACTGATCAAGCGTCATAATTTTGATGTCGAAAAGTTCAAGGAGATCCAGAGAAAATGCGGCATACCTCTACACGCCAGTGCCTCGCTTAAGAATCGGGTAGGCCTGGAAATAGAGCTCGACGACTCTTTACATAGAGATTAACACTTCCAATTTTGTACTTTTGGCCGGGGTAGGGAAAAGGCCGGAGGTTAACTCAGACTCTTCTGTTTTGTTACAATCTGGCCCCTCCTGGTTTTATGTAGGTAGGGCCCAGAAATATTGATTTTAACATGTTGCTTCTTACCTACCTTCCAATTTTTTTGGCACAAATACTTGATTTCATGCAGAGCTGCTTTTAACTGAAGCAAATTGCAATGGATACTGCTTTTGGCTCATCGCTTTCTAATTCACATCTTTTCGGAGAGTAATAGAGGGATCGCATTATGTACCACCTCTCTAATAGAAGTTCGGCCTTTGGCTCATCGCTTTCTAATTCACATCTTTTCGGAGAGTAATAGAGGGATCGCATTATGTACCACCTCTCTAATAGAAGTTCGGCCGCTTGTGCCGGATGAGCTATGGAGGCGTGGTTTCATAATGTGAGCCTGAAGTGCCTTTCGTCTAGCCAGTAAGGGCTGGTTTGGTATTGCTGTGCTTTGAAGAAAAAAAACTGTTTTTGTTGTGCTGTGAGAATAAGCTCATTTTTGCTACTTAAGGCATTTCAATTCGGAAGTAGAACGAGAATCGCACATCCTAGGCAACTGAAGCCAATCTATTCAAACTTTACCGTACTGTCTCTCGATCAGGCGGGTTGTTAATCGGTCCTAAAATTTCAGGGATTCACAAACGCTGTACGAACAGTTTACTCTTTTCCGACAGCCGGTAGTAAACTTCAGATCAACCATGTTTAACATACCAAGTCTATTCAGTAACTAGACAGCCTGTTCTTTTACAGTTAGATAATCATATACAAGTTGTTCTTTTTATATATTAGAAAGTCAACTTCAAGGGAGCTAAGTACATCGATCACAGATTGTTCTTCAGATCCGCTGAAGTGCTCCAAAATCTGAGAGAGAGAGATCTGCAAACATCCAAGTTTTTAAACTTGTTAGTTTTATCTTTGCTTGAAAAGTGAGGATAATAACGCTTACCATTTCACGACACTATACTTACCCCGTCTTGGTTCTTAAGCCAATCGTATATGGAACTCTCCGTTGCCTTCAATGCAAGGGAACTTTCATCATCTGGACTACCAAGTTTTTGGCGTTTTGTTGGGAGTAAGTCCTCGAAATGTGCTTCAGGTTGGTTTACTCCTTGTCCCCTGGTCAAGGGAAGAGGAGTGGTTTCTTCATTTTTACCCGAGCTTGCAACTGAATCTTGGGCCAAGGCTTTATCTTCAAGAGGTTCTTCCGTGGGGGATTTACGAGCAGAACATGGTGACGATTCTGTTTCCTTGCTTGGAAGTTGACCAGCTTCTTGTGCATCATGGGGGCTAGATGGAGTCCCTTCCAGAGACACTCCAAGCTTTTGCATTGCCAGGCAAGTCTTGATGTGTGCATAACTTATCTGTCATTGTAAAGCATGTTCAAACAGATAAAAAGAAAATGCACGCAAATCGCCCGTCTATATGAGTATGAAGCACGTATAAAATATAAATTCACGTACATATACACAATTAGACAGACACATTAATAGCATAACTAAAAATGAACTCCAAAATCAAGGCAAAGGTTTTGAGGCTCACATCTTCTGGCAATTCGTCTTTGATAGGCTTTAACCTTTCCGTAGGGCCAACCTTTGAAATGGCACACTGAATATCGGAGAGAACTTTATGCGTTAGTCCAACCTCGTTGCATAGCCTGATCCAATCAATTTCGCATCCTTCTTGAGCAGCTTCTACCACATAATCAAGAACAGTCTGCTCTTTAATAGGTGCAGATCTACCAGGGAAGTTCTGTGATTAAAAAGATTTAAGGTATGTAAGAATTGAAGGTATGTAAGAATTGAAGTATAAGGAAAAGATAATAATCCATAGTAAATACTGAATATTGGAGAACATACAGCAATTTTCTGAATCGAGAAACCCTCAACATGCCACAATTTCCAGGCTTCAAACTTTGCTGGCGTTAACTTTCTTGGTTGGTTGGGTACAGGATAGACTTTTCTCGTAATAGCAGTAGTTTGTACGGTTGCCTCTCCATCCAATGAAAGATTTAGTCCTTGTGATAGATCCCGAATGATCCGAAGAAAATTGTTTCCATGAGTCACTACAAGGTGCTGCATGTATAAAGATGACATTTAGCCTTCATATTTAGAAAAGTTAAAAGAGCAGGAAAACTTATATGAAACAATGAAAAATATCATTTACTTTGCTACGATAATTCATTGAAGCTTCAGTTAGATAAAAAAAAATTGCTGAATGCACTATTTGTGACTTGGTGGAATTAGAACCCCAGCCAACTGTTTGTTGAGTGCAGGAAGCAGATCCGGGATATTGTTAAGGACGAGATAGAGGTAGTATAGATTATATGCTATCTTGGATAAAATTAATTAATTTTTTTCTAGATTTGAATTTTGATCTCCCTTGAGGCATTTGACAAGCATTCAGCCATTATAAAATCAACTTTTACGAAAAGTGCTTCTATTGTCGTGAATTATGGCGTGTGGAAAGGCATTGCCATGTTCAATCCTGCAACAATTTTTTTACCAGTTACTCGTGCCTATGTCCAGTAAATATTCTGGATAGCACTGGAAGCCATCAGAAAAGTCTTTGCTTGAGAATAGTGAACCAGGTATTGATCTGTACATATTCAAGTCCTTTGCCAGCCAAAGGACATGATTAGTACGAACAGATTACATTCAGTCGGAAAAACACAAAAGATGTATCTGCATCAAAACTTGTTTAACACAAACGCAATGTATCAAATCCTTGTCGTTAAGAACTAAAGATTTTGAGAATAAAATTTTTTACTAGTTAAACTACGAGGGTTTAGTTGGTTTGCCAATTATAATTAAGATCCTAGTTAACTAATCACACTGGAGAATGGAGATATACATACAGAAACTTTGCTATTGCTCTCTGCAAGACATACCTGGTTGACGCCATCGATGTTTGCTAGCCTTGCTTTGGTAGATGGTCTTGCTAAAGCAATTTTTTTAATTGTTTGATCACCACAAATAGCATATCTGCAGAGAGTAAAATTTGGATGAACTCAATGTTTTTGGTAAAAAAAAATTGAAAATTGCTTTTAAGACATTAAGAGAGAATATTTGGAATTTGTGGTCTTGACTATATAATTAAAAAGAGATCTACGGAGCGGTTCCAAGGCTTCTTGCGAGCTTCCTTCTCTCTTCTAAAAGCATGTGGTAGAGTTGTTTCTCTGCCTGAGAGAAAATGAAAATGTGTAAAAAAGGTACTATTGTAAATGTTGATAACATACGGATAAAATATTGAGTAACTGAGGTGAATAAACACAATAACAATTAAATTGCCAACCTCTGAGAATCCTTCACATTCCTGAGTAGCCAAACTCTTAATTTCTCCAACTTCGCCTGATGCATGTTTATTGTCCTCATCATCGACCATTTCACTGGTCACTGGCAAGAATAAGGGTGGTTGATGATCCGGTCCAGCAGAACTAAGAAATTGGTAAGCTTTTGGACTAAGACTGATGCATGAAAAAAGAAAATTCAAATTCAATCATTTTCTTTTCGAGTTTTGCAATTGAAAATCAAGAAAAAGAAGAAGACCTATTATTAATGACAGAGAAGGGTCATTTCTGGTGGAATTTAGTATCATATAAAAACTAAATAGATGTCGAAAAAGAGATTCATTATTAAGTTTTACCTTCTGCAAAAGTAGAATAAACGAAAAGAATATACCTTACAGTTCTGTATATGTCTTTTACTGTCTCCCTCAAATAACCTGTATTAAAAAGAGCATTTTAACTCATGAACAGACCAATTATCAGCTAAAAACTCAAATGCAAGTATATCAGCTTATGTGAACAAAGATACAAGCATAACATGTAAGCATTGGTGAACGTCTTAAGCATTCATATGCCTCCGGTATTAAAATGTCAAAAGTAATACTCAGAGCAAGGAGACCAGCTGATAGAAAGTGTCCCTTACATACCAGAAGAGACTAATTGGTAACCAAGGGCTTTCCACCAATTCGAAGAATAGTCTTTCCCAAGCCCATGCAGTGGAAGCTTGTCATATTGGGCATCAATAATTTTTTTAGCCTGTATGCCACATGGAAAGATCACCATGAGTAACACAACGATGTAAAAGTTGAAAGGAAAAAAAAAACAGCAACTGAAAAATGACACTTTAAAGAACTTTAGGACCAGGAGCTTTCAGAAAGAACAGCATTTAACAGAAGCTAACTATATAAAACAATTGGCTTCTAGGAATTCTTATTAATTTTTTTAGTTACAACTTTCAGCTTGTATCACTCACATGTTGTGTATAACCTTGTATCATTAAGTTAGTTTGAATTTTATTCCTTCAATGTTAGCAAGAACATAACTGTCTTTTGAAAACCGCAAACAGAGATATCACTAAAGCTAAAACACAAGGCTAAAGATTCACATTTTTGCCCTTGAATCACCTAATGTAGAAGAGAGACAAATGGAACCAACTTTTATTCATACAGTTCAACTCTTTGGACCTCCAGATCATCGAATGCTAAACATTCTTGTAGTAATTACTTGTGCACCTTTTTATCAATGATAAACATGGTATACTGTGTTTCAAAATCCAAATGCATTAAAACTCACTCGAGAGCCACGAAGAATGTCTACAGGCATACTGAGACCCCATTTACCCCTACATGATTGAATGCAAGCCATTAGAAGAAATGCTTCTTTAGACATGTCTCGCTCCCTCTTTGTGGAAGTGCAGTTATCACAATTACCTACAAACACAATTTTAAGCCACCGCATAATAATTGGTTCAGTTTAAGTTGAAAGATTATCTACCATGGAATGCAGGTGAATTGATGCTAAAGTGAAAAAACAATTATGTTTCATTTTAATATTATAATTTAAAAACATTTTACGAAACAACCTCCAACTGTCATAAAAACTTTCAATCTATCTAATCTAAGCAGTCTCTTGAATATTAACATGAAATTATATCATTTCTGTCAAGTTCATCACCTGTAAGTTCCAATATTTTATTGAAACAAAAAGCACTGAATTTAAATCCTAGCATCAAAAGCTAGCAGTGAGTAAATAAGGCAGATGATTGAACTACATGGATGCAGTTTGAAACTTCAACGCTAAAATTAGGGGAGTCTGAACTCAGGAATTCCAATAAAGAAAGCAGATCCATACCGCATTTATCAGCTGGAAACTTTTCCCCAAAGTGACCAAGTAAAAACTTCCTTCTGCAAGTTGTCAGTAAGCAGTACCGTTGTGCTGCCATCAACGACTCTACAACAGCTTTACGTTGACTTTCCTGGTGATTAGAAGCCCACAAAAACTCATGAGGCAGAAAAATATTTGGCCACATCCTAGAACAGAAACAAAATAAGCACTTACAGAATGTAGCTCTCCAATGTAAAAGTCAGCTTTTGCAAAGTCACTTCTAGTGTAATAAAGCCAGCAGACAGATGCAATACCATCTCTACCGCATCGTCCACTTTCCTGGTAATAAGACTCCAAGCTCTTTGGGCAACCATAATGTATCACTTGCCTTATGTTTGGTTTGTCAATACCCATTCCAAAAGCAATTGTAGCAACCATGACATCGAGTTCATCTCGTACAAACAATCTGATGAGAAAGAATGATAAGCATAATGTAAAATACGATGCAATGCAAGGTTAAGAAATGGAAGGGTGATGTACTCAACAATTACATTGATAGCACAAGGAGCAACTATAAATTCTACTTTAAATACACATGGAATGAGATGAGAACCTATGGGACTCCGCACGAGCTTTATTGTCCATTTGACCATGATAGATTCCAGCCTTAATACCTACCTCCTTGAGTGACTCGAATACCTAGGGAAGGTAATGAAAAACATTAAAAGAATGTAAGCCAGGTTCTTCAGAAAATTCATTCATGAATAAAACAAGACATTGATAAAAACTATCATATACATGATATAATGCGGACAGTAAGTTACACAGATACAGTGCATGCATAAAAAATACACATGTTAAGAAAACGAAGTTAAAGAACGTACCTGCTCAACATCTTTAATTGTCGTGCAGTAGATGATAGTTGAACCATCTGAGCGCACAAATGTTGAAACTTCTTGAACGAGCTCCTGAACAAATGACTGACCACGATTGAATGACTTGACACCATAGAACAGATTTGTCCGGTCAAATGAGCCTATGGCAACATATGGGTTTTGCATCTTCAAGGAATTAACAATGTCCATCCGAACCCTGGAATATGAATACGAGCAAAAGATAAATATTGAAGTCTTCATAACATTAAAAAAAAAAAAAAACTTAAAAACAAACCAAAGTAAATAATGCAGGGTCTCCAAGTGCATTACAATTTTCACCAAGTGCGTTACAGTTTTCACCTATTTGAAAGAGAATTATAGTCATATACGTTAAGTTACAAAAACCATAAGAGTATGGGTCAAGTAAGGAATGGTTTTGTGCCACCGTTCTCTAGGATCTAGCAAACATAAAAAATATTAGATGACAATAGCTCACTTCCTAGTTCCCACGGTTGTTATGCCAAGTTAGAGAAACTAGTACAAGAAACGAAAATATTTCTGTTGAAATATAAGGCACCAAAAGCAGATAATACAAGAGGCTTACAGAAATAAAGAATGTTTGTAAATATTATCAGTTGAATTCTGAGGATTTTAAATAAATGGAAGCAATACCCGAATAGAAATGCAACAGCTGATAAGAACATCAAAGTCAGAGAGAGAGAGAGAGAGAGAGAGAGAGATACTTTTCAGTAGCAGTTGCAGTTAAGGCAATAAATGGAACATCAACAAGAAGGCCACGTAACTTGTCTAGTTTCTTGTATTCTACCCTGTAAAGTCCACAACGAGAAATGCTTAGATGATGATGATTAGTGATTACAAGTAACATTAAGATAATTATAGGCATAAAACAAGGTGAGAAATAGATATACAAGGAACAAAATCGACACATGAAACTCTGACTGAAAAAATACTTTTGGACGAATATGCATTAAATAGTAATTTGGAAAACAAGAAACTAACCATAGTACCACCACCCAAAGACTAGGCAACTTTGATTTAAAACTGAAGTAGGATCAATAAAGGAACTTAAGCTTTAGAGATTTTGTTGATCTCAATCCCATTCTAGCCAGAAATTGGAGAATGATGCCAAAATAAATGTCACAGGCCAAAGTCCCAACATTTCAAAAACAAAGACTACGAAATCAAGTCATTGCGATTTACGTTAGAAAGAACCACTAAATATCAGTAACCTGAAATCATGGCCCCACTCCGATATGCAATGTGCTTCATCAACAGCAAACAAACAGAGTCCAACACTTAGCAAATTGGACCAGAAACTGCAAAAAAGGCATAGAGTCAGGATACCAATTTCTGTAAGAAACACAAATAATCTAGAATATAATACTGACATCGAAAAATCCACTAAACTCCTTCCATATGCCAACAAAATCTTGATAATGGCAGACTATAATATAAAGTTCTCATCTACAATCATCGTACGTCCATGACCATAGTAGTCCTAGTTCACTAGTCCAAACTCCCAGCTCATGTTTGTAATTGTAATACAGCAGACAAAGTGCACAATAGAACAGAAAACTTGAAACTGATATATGGCAAATAAAACTAGCAATGTACCTTGAAGGAACCAAACATGCCTTTTCCGGGGTCATGTATAAGATATCAAATTGACCACTTTCAGCTCTGCTCTGGACAGTGGAATCAGTTTGGCTACTTCCCATAAACTCGGCTCTAATTCCTCGTTGCTTCAAAGACATTACCTTTAAACAAACATCAAATATTTCATTTAACCTCCAACGACACGCAATTATTGATTACTAATCTTCAACAGAAACAGAATTAAATTACATGATTACATACCATTATTTAACCCAAAAAAAAAAAAAAAAAACCAACCCAACAAAAAGAAACAATCTTTGGTTCACCTGATCTTGCATTAGGGATATAAGAGGGCTCACAACAACACCAGTCTTTCCGACAACCAACGGAGGCACCTGATAGCTGTAAAAAAAAAATAACCCAGTAAATCAAACACTTCTAAAACCCTACTCAAACGACAGAGAAAGGAAAGGAAGAAACTTTTACCACAACGACTTGCCGCTGCCGGTGGCCATCACAATCAATGAGTCGTTTCCGTCTATGATTTTCTCAATCACTTCCTTCTGGTACGGTCGAAACGAAGAAAACCCAAAATATTTCTACACCCAAAAATTCAACAAAACTAATAAAAAAAGAAAAAAAAAGACTAAAAATGAAGAAAAGAAAACAAGAGAAGCAGAAGAAGATAAGGTCCTTCACCTTGAGAATGGACTGCATTTCTGCTGAGACGATCAGTCGGCAAGGATTTTATGGAGGAAGGAAAAGCACTTTTGAGTTTTTAGCTACTTTTTTTTTGGAGTTTTGAGAAATGTTTTTATGCTTTTCATTAAGCAGATAATAATACATATATATAGCGTCAGAAATCCCCAACTTCTCCCGCCATTTCTTTGAGGAAGAAACTTCGGAACCCCAGGCCCACAGAAACCAACCACTGCAGCCCAAGACCCAACAACATCCACAACAACAACAAAACATTTTCCATTACGTGGGGCCGGCTATATGAATCTTAGAACGTCATTGCGCTCGATTCTGTGTCGCGTCTTCCGTTAGATTCAAGTACTCTAAGTCTTCTCTTATAGTCTCTTCCAAAGTCTTCCTAGGTCTTTCTCTATCCCTTCAAGTCTGAACCTCTGTCACGTAATCGCATATTCTAACCAGAACGTCAGTAGGCCTTCGTTTCACATGTTCAAGCCACTGTAGCCCAGGACCCATTTAGGCAATATTCTACTTTAAACTGACGTAACATGCAAAAACACTGGAAAAGAGTTATTTGGACTCAGATTTTTTTACAATGTCGCTAGACGCACGTTTGCAAGTTTCTTCCTTATCTTTGGTTGTTAAAACAGTTGTCTCATAACTTGGTCAGTAACCTACCATTGAAGAAACAGAATCTATCGATCCCGTGTCGTTTTTGCTACAATGTAAATTGAAATTTTCTCCAAAACCATGTTGTATAATGGTACATTTTTGAAATTTAGAAAACTTGTGGTTGAATCTGTTTGGAATGTATGATGAAACTGTTGTCAGATAACATAAACAAATGAGCATAAACCACCGGGAGCCGACGGACGTTAACAACTTAACACATCTATCAAGCTCGGACTCTAATCCAGCTACAACTATCAAGCTCGGACTCAAATCCAGCTACAATTATAGTAAACCATCCAAACACAATGGAAACATCCGGCGAGAAAAACATTACATATTGTGCGGCATATCGGAACATCTACATTCTAAAACAACTTTTTGTACTCTTCGGCATCTTGTGCCATTTCCTCGAGGCTTCTGTCCTTCCTTTCCTTGTCTAAATCAAGCTTTTGCGTTAATTCCTTCTCCTTTTCATCCAGCTATAGCATTGAACACAGAAAAAGTAAATACTCAAGGCTAAAACATACGAATTAGTTAAGTGTTAATAAAACCTGAAACAGATGTTCTAATCTTACCGCATCATAAATCTCATCATTCTTCTCAAAGTCGCCACCTTTCCGTGGGAGGATATGAATATGAACATGGGGTACAGTCTGTCCGGCTTCGGGTCCATCCTAAGGTTCAAACAATGAGGAGAAAGTTAGCTTCAGGGGACATAAAACCATTACAATGTGCAGCAGCGAACATTTCAGAGGCAAAGATGTGAACTTGAGCATTAAGGATCGTCTCCCAACAAAAATCATAAAGCAAAATTGTTGCCGTTAAATACCACACGAAAAGTAGGTAACCCGCTCTGCCTCAAATAACAAGTTCAAGGCATAATTCCTAGGTGATATGGAAGTGAAAAGAAACCTAAAAGCTTGGAGGAAGTTCGAAATATGACCAATGTACGCTTTATGTGTCGATAAACAGGAATGACTGATGAATATAAGGCATTAAGTGATCACTTCGTTAATAGTAATATCATTAACAGATCTCAAGGGCAAAGTAACTGTCTGAAAACCAGGCCAAACACAGAAATATTGTTCACTAATAAAAAAAAGTTAGTCTAAAAATTCTTACTTGAATAGCAAGTGTGAGAGATGATGCTTTGTGGTAACTCTCAAGCCGGCTACCAACCCTTTGTGCTGTGATCCAAAGATCACTGGTCTCATCAGCAGTGAGATCAACAAAGCGCTTCACTTCTCGCCTTGGGCAGACAAGCACATGTACATGATGTCAAGTCAAGCAAGATTGAATTGAGCATATTATAATTCCACAATAAAATGGGTATAATTTGCACACACAGTTACACACAATGCTAGGTCATCCTTCTTCCAGTGTCTTTCAACACATGCAGATGAGAAGGGAAGTTAGGCACACATATCAGTCCATGATAAACTATATACAGAACCGTGGTCCGAAAGAGACCAGTCAATGTCTACTAATAAAAACGGATGCACTTAGTAGCATGTTCTTAAGACTCAAGCATTGCAACCAGCTGAATCTACTATCTGCTGCTTACATTTTGGTGCCACAGAAAATCCTTTCGGACCCAAAATCAAGCTGGATAAAAGACTCTTCCTTTTCGAGTCCAGAACGAAAAACCGACACCCCTTTCCTTTGACATCCATATTCATTACTCACTAGCATGATCCAATCAATCAGTAATAAAACTCATATACTGCCTTAATTCTCCAAGCAAGAAAAAGGGCACTAAAACAAGGAAATTTCCCGCAGATAGCTCTTTACCGTAGCGGCGAACAACAATCATACCTATGCAACTGGTGCTGGTTCGATCCCCATTGATTCTCTTTCCCATAACAACTAACTATTTAACCCACTAAGGCTATTGCTACTAAAAACAGAAAATTTCCTAACTTTTTTTTTTCTTATATAACAAATTAAAAATGCATTTATTCACCGATCTCAAAACAAAATTCATATCCAAAGCAAATAAAAGGATATGACCTGCAAAGAAAAAGGAGAGTTGGGTCATCAAATTTGCAATTTCTACATCCAATTTTCATGCTTTGATTATTCAGTGTTAAGAGTAAGAGAAAAGTACCAGGAACAAGAGGGCGCAGGTTAACCAGGGCGTAGGATAGCTTGGTGGAGTAGAATACTTCCCTACTGTCGATATTGTACGGCCCGAACTTGAAGCTCTCCGAAGCCATCTGTCTGCGTTTTATAAACAAACTATAATGAATAGTACCGGCGGCGGAGGTTAAGGAAAAGGAAAGGGCTGGAATTGGTGGTTTCTTTGCGGGGGTGGAGAAGGAGGAAGGACGAAGGAAGGCGGCTCTGGCGACGGAGGACGATCGTGTAATGAGAGATCTGACGGTGGAAGCCACTGTTGGGAACAGAATTTTACGCTTTTGAGGTGAGCTAATGCTATTTCTTTTTCTTTTTGTTATTTTTTTTAATAACTTGCCAATTATCGTATTTGTAGGGATGTGATATCTACACCTCTTTTTACTTCATTTACATTTTTTTAGTTTTCGATCGTCGGATTGAATGAATTGAAAATGATCAACGGATATAAATTAACAAAGAGCGTGTGAGAAGTAAAATAGGGTGTATGGATAACAAATCCCTATTTGTATAGTAATATTCCTCAAATGTTAGAATCTCAAGAATCAGAATTTTCCGTTTGGTAAAAGGTAAAATGTTAAGCGACTCAAATATGTTCTTATTGACTTAAAACATTTAAAAATAAAATTGTTTACTTCTTTTATCGTACTATAGATTGCCATACATCTAACCTGAATGGCTAAACTCTTTCGCGTGTGTCGTACTTCCCAAACAAACACTAAATCATAAACACACTATTTTATTCTAGGGCCCCACTTTAAAGGCTCGCTTAGGACCTTCAAATTCTCAAGGCCGGTCATGTGTCGGATCAAATGATTAGAGAAAATCAATGAACAGAAATTAATAAAAAATATATGAAGTAAAAATGATTATGTGAATAACATCACCATTTTCCTTTTATGTTTCGACTTTCCCTTTGGGCCTACGTTTTTTTGTTCACGCGATATTATATTAGACGAAACACTACAATAGTGGTGTCTCTATGTCATATAAGTTGCTTCCTATGTCTAATTTTCTTGAAAGTAAAAAACATGGAAACTTTAACGAAAAGCACCTGGTACTGTTCAATTTAACGAAAAACCACATTTTTACACTAAAAAGTCAATCCTGGTACTATTCACTTTACCCTTTATTTTATCTTTATCATTAAAACTCAAATTTTTCAAGCATTTTTCATTAGTTTTCTAAAAAACATATATATAATATGTATTTGTATCATGAAAAAGATAAGTAATGTAGATTACACTGGATAAGGCTGGCCCTGCTTGTTATATCGAAGGAGGGAAGACACAGTTGAAGAAGAAGAACCAGAAGGAGAAATGTCAGCCGTGACAACTCTCAGTCAGGCATGCTGGGCTGCCGCCGTCGTGAAACCGAAATCAAACACCGCCATTTCCCATATCCAAAACCCAAAGCCCAAATCTTTAGCTCTTCCTTTCTCGGCCAATTCCAGCTGCGGTCACTTCTTCTCCTTCAATCCCAAAACCACCCTCAAATCCTCCTCCTCCGTCCGTACATTCGTTGCCGCCGTTGAATCCGACCAGCTCAGCTCCTCCGACTCCGCTGACAAGGTCCAATTCTCTCTTCAACCCATAAAAAGTTTTCCTTTTAATTTTCATTTTCTCATCCAAGACTGTAAATTTTGAATTTTTTTGTTTCTGAATGCAGGAAAAGCCGAGCAGGTACTATTTCGTGGTTGCAAATGCGAAGTTTATGCTCGATGACGAGGAGCATTTCCAGGAGCAGTTGTGTGAGAGGCTTCGATACTATGGAGAGAAGAACAAAGAGCAGGACTTTTGGCTTGTGATCGAGCCTAAGTTCTTGGATAAGTTTCCTAACATTACTAAGAGATTAGGAAGGCCTGCCGTGGCTCTGGTTTCGACTAACGGTCCTTGGATTACGTAAGTTTCCCTGTTTTTGATTGCGAACATGCTCGGTTTCAATTTGTTGTTTTCTGACTGCTGTTTTGTTTCGAGCTTCATATGTTTTGTTAGTTAAGTAGTGATGTAGCAGAATCAGAGGTTGAATCAATTGGGAATTTCTGTTGTGTATTAGTGTCCAATTCTCTTGTGACAATGTTTGATGATGCTAAGATTCTAGACTCGATCGATCATTATGGTAGAACGCTGAAAACTGCAAGAATCCGAAAGTTTTAAGTTGTTGAAGAGTCGAGAATTGTGTATCTAGCTAACACGGTCTCTAGTTTGCAGCCTTATCCTGCGCGTGTGGAGATGCGGATGTAGATATTCATACATGTGCATCTTCACCTTGCATCTTTTAAGTTTAGAAATAAGTGGTGGAAGGGGGGTTTAGAGTGATGTTTGAATCCAGCATCTCCTGCAACTAGAGCTACGATATGATTTTAGAAAACCAATAATCCTCGAAAGTTGAAGTTCTTGAGAAGGATTACATTGTCGACCAAGCTAACAACCATGTAAATATGAGATTCTACACGATTGAAGCGTATGCTTACACCATTAGATATGCTAACAACAACTCCTCAGCTAAAAGAACTACATGACCTGATGTTTCGATATAAGAAATATCTTCTTGTGTTTGTACAGAAGTAGAAATATGAAAGTTGCGACCCTTACAATGGTAGCATGTCTCTGAATCTGATCATGTTTTGCGGCTGCAGGTTTATGAAGCTGAGACTGGACAGAGTGTTAGCAGAAAGTTTTGAAGCTGAGAGTCTAGAAGAAGCGTTAGCCTCCAATCCAACCACTATCGAGTTTGAGAAGCCACAGAAATGGGTAGCACCTTATTCCAAGTATGAATCCGGGTGGTGGGGGCCTTTCTTGCCTCCAAGAACGAAAGAGGAGAGCAAAGCGTAAATCACTTTTTTCCTTTCTCAACGTGGATTTCGTCATCTGTTACTAACTAGAGCTGAAGTTGATGCATGTAGGTAATGTGAAGTTTTGCAAGGTTAGTACCTCATGTAATAAACTTTTGTAGTTGCCCATTAATGTGTGAAGAGAGAGTATTCAAGAAGTTGTCTGTCCGAAAGGATGAAGAAATTTGCTTGTGTCATGCGCGATTAATGCAATAGCTTTCGACATTGCATTCACATCAGAAAACCGAAATATGAACGAATACATTTTCTTCAATCGAGCAAGGAAGATGAATGATTACTTTTCTTGATCAATACTCCTCGAGGAAAACTAATTAAACAAGACTAGAAGTGAAACACAAAGAAAGCAACATATTTTCTACATCTTCATTACAGCCTTGATCAGAAAAACCCGAGGGAACGAAACCAGCAAGAACGGAATATGAACTGTACCGACTATATGAAGAGGAAGAGTCCAGCAGAACTTCAAAAATAGGCAGGCAGGCAAATATTTAGGGTTGCTTTCTGTTCTTGTTAGAAATTACTTTCTTTCTGAGTTTCTGAAGGACTGTTTCATCCAACACTGCATACTGCTTCTTTATTTCAATCAGTGCTTTCTCTGCAATGCTGTCCACGCTATCCTCAAGATTATCGTACAACGTCGGCACTATCATCAGTATGACAAACACTGCACCAACCAAAACGAAAAATTCAGTACTCATCTTGATAACATAATTAGCAGACAACGATCAATTAGCTTTTAGTCGAATGATACTTCTTTCACAAAGTCAGAAAAGTCGCAAGTTATGTTCCCCCTTCCTCCGTTGATAAAAAGTAAGCATATAAACGAGAGAAGCAACGATGATGAATAAACACTCGGGTAAAAATTATGCATGTACAATCACAATGGAATTATACAACTTAACAAAAGCAACCATTTCTTTTTACAAAATGCAATGTTAGTAGATTGTCATCATTTATAGTTTTCGATGCAAGAACAAGATGTTATTTATAACAATTAGTCGAAACATAAATCGTGGATCAACAAAGGCCTCTCGGGAACTTGTTTAAGAATAAGAAAGAGGAATCTCATGTAAACATTGCAAACAACATCAACGTTTGTAAATGTTGATCATAGAGATTGCCAAGGACTACTAAAAACTTCATGGCAGAGACGAAACAGTTGGAGCTGATGCAAACCTAAGTAAAGGAAGCTTAAGAAAGTGCACCAGCTTCCGATGACAGAGAGAACCCACAAAGTCGACGCCACCTGCAAACGAGTCCATCACGTTAGAGTTTTATGTTCAATCAAAACCTACTATTCTTGCAGCATAAACAAAACCTAGAGGGGTATGAAAAATGTCGGTACCGCGAGGAAATCTCTTACGTCTCTCCCAAAAACTACATGCCCAAATGATCTTAACGCTTGATTATATGTAGTTGTTAAGGAAATAGCAGTCCTCATAAACAGGTGCTGTGGTACTACAATCTCTGGAATTTCTGGTGCAGACCTGTTTCATCATCATATTCTATCCAGAAATCATAACACAGACACATGAAAAAACCAATTAAAAAAAGGGAAATACGGACAGATAGAAGAACCGCTAAGGCGCTTATAAATTCTTAATAAAATAATAAAATTAGAGGAACCCTAAATATATAATAAAGGGGCATTAAAACATGATTAATGTACGGCGTATTGTGTGTTCAGTGTCTTCCGAGCGCTATTTTTTATAATTTGTAACTAACCGTTTGTTTTTTTGTGCATATTAGCCTAAACAAAAATTAAATTAGGCAAAATTAAGGAGCTCACACATGGATGAAGGAACCAAAGTTGGACCACAAGAAGAAGGCTGTCAAGGAGAGCAATGAAGTGTGGCAAAGAAACGCAACCAAATTATAACCTAATCTCTCAAAGAGAAGCCAAGTGAGTGTTGCACCCATAAAAATGTAGGCTGAGATCTGCTTATTTCTCCAAAGTATAATATCAGCAGCTGAAAGAATTAATAATTTCACTTTTAGGTTAATAGAAGCATGAAATTTACAGCAAGCATAAGAAGAAAAAAATTCTAATTACAGTTTACGTACATACACCAGCGCCGAGGACAACATGAAGAGGCTTCTGGCGACCAAACAATCGGTTCTTGCATGTAAAAGCCAAGCAGTAATTATCACTGTCGGAGTCGGAAGAGTCAACTCCGCCTATGTAAGTTTATCTTACATTGCCGGTCCCAAGCCCGGATAAAGGAGGAGGGGGAGGGCGTCAGGTAGTCGACAGCCGGCACTCCATAATTACGTCGAATCCTTATGAAAATGAATCAAGAACGAAATCGCGCTAAAGCTAGGGCGTCACCGCGCGTTGTGTGGCCCGAGCACAGTGATAAGTGAGTAAGGGTCGCTGTATCTCCATCGGCACCCGGATGCAGTGTTAAATGAGCAAGGGGGCCATAGAAACTTCTTTTCGAACGACTCCACTCAAAGTTGTTTGGGAGCATATGCTTCTATTAACTTTACACGGGACACACAAAAGAAGTACTTTGATCCTATTAGACGGGGGATGGTGAAGAAGCTAGGACAGAAGGGTAGAGTTCAAGAGAGCAAAATGCGTTTAGGAACGTGGAATATAGGAACCTTAACGGGAAAATCTATGGAAGTAGTGGAAGTTATGGTGAGGAGAAGGATAAATATTATGTGCCTACAAGAAACTAAGTGGGTTAAGTGGGTTGGTCGTAAGGCAAAGGATCTAGAAAACTCAGGGTTTAAACTTTGGTATTCGGGCACAAATAGAACGAGAAACGGTGTTGGCATCATCGTGGACAAGACCTTGACACAAGATGTTATAGATGTCAAGAGGGTAGGAGATAGAATCATGGCAATCAAGATTGTAATAGGACAAGAACTTATCAATGTGATTAGTGCGTACGCACCTCAAGTAGGGTTGGATACGAGTTCGAAGGAGAAATTTTGGGAAGACCTTGGAGACTTGGTGCAAGGAATTGCTCAGACGGAGAAGATATTTATAGGAGGAGATTTAAATGGACACGTGGGCAGGGAGACAGGCAACTATGGAGGTTTTCATGGTGGCCATGGTTTTGGGGAGAGAAACGAGGATGGGGAAGCTATCTTGGATTTTGCAATGGCATATGATCTCTTCTTAGCCAACACCTTCTTTAAGAAGTGAGAAGAACATGTGATCACCTACAAGAGTGGGTCGTCAAAAACACAAATAGATTTTCTTCTAATGAGGAAAGGGGATCGTATAACTTGTAAGGATTGCAAAGTTATACCAGGAGAGAGCGTGGCTAATCAACATCGTTTGTTGGTGATGGATGTACATATCAAAAGAGTGAGAAAAAAGAACAAGACTTGGAAGTGCCCAAGGACTAGATAGTGGAATCTAAAGAAGAAGAAAACAAGCCATTTTCAAAGAGAAAGTAATCACCCAGTATGTGTGGATAGAGAGGGGGAAGCTAGCCAAATGTGGGATTCCATGGCTAGTTGTATCCGAAAAGTAGCAAAAGAGGTATTAGGAGAGTCCAAGGGCTTTGCCCCACACCAAAAGGAATCTTGGTGGTGGAATGAGGAGGTACAAACAAAGGTGAAGGCTAAGAAGGAATGTTGTAAAGCCTTATACAAGGATAGGACCGATGAAAATGGTGAAAGGTATAGAAAAGCGAAGCAAGAGGTGAAGAAAGCTGTGAGAGAAGCTAAGTTAGCGGCTTATGACGATATGTATAAGCGACTAGATACCAAAGATGGAGAGTTGGATATCTATAAACTAGCTAGAGCAAGGGAAAAGAAGACAAGGGACCTAAACCAAGTGAGGTGCATCAAGGATGAGCATGGAAAGATTCTTGCTACAGAGAACGCGGTTAAAGACAGATGGAGAAGTTATTTTCATAATCTTTTCAATGAAGGACATGAAAGGAGTACTTCTTTAGGGGAGTTGAGTAACTCAGAAGAGTGTAGAAACTACTCTTTTTATCGTCGAATCCGGAAGGAAGAAGTGGTTGTAGCTTTGAAGAAGATGAAACATAGAAAAGCAGTAGGCCCAGACGATATACCAATCGAAGTGTGGAAAGTTTTGGGAGAGACAGGTATAACATGGCTCACTGACCTTTTCAATAGGATTTTGAAAACGAAGAAGATGCCAAATGAGTGGCGAACGAGCACTTTGGTGCCTATCTACAAGAATAAGGGCGACGTACAAAATTGCATGAACTATATGGGTATTAAGCTAATGAGTCATACAATGAAGCTCTGGGAGAGAGTCATTGAGCATAGATTGAGGCAAGAGACACGGGTTTCGGACAACCAATTCGGGTTCATGCCAGGGCGCTCAACCATGGAGGCAATCTATCTCTTACGAATATTGATGGAAAGATATAGAGATGGGAAAAAAGATTTACACATGGTCTTTATAGATTTGGAAAAAGCGTATGATAGGGTCCCAAGAGACATTCTTTGGAGGATTCTAGAGAAGAAAGGAGTACGAGTAGCATATATCCAAGCTATAAAGGATATGTATGAAGGAGCAAAGACTGCCGTAAGAACTCATGAAGGATAAACCGAAAGCTTTCCCATAACTGTAGGATTACATCAAGGCTCATCCTTAAGTCCTTAATTTTTTGCGTTGGTAATAGATGAGTTAACAGGACATATTCAAGATGATATTCCTTGGTGTATGCTTTTCGCAGACGATATAGTGTTGATAGATGAAACTCAGGAAGGGGTAAATGCAAAGCTTAACCTTTGGAGAGAAGTGTTGGAATCTAAAGGTCTTCGCCTAAGCCGATCAAAGACAAAATATATGGAGTGCAAGTTCAGTGCAAATGGAGGCCAAAACGAGTTAGGGGTGAGGATCGGAGATCAAGAAATACCAAAGAGCGACCGTTTTCGTTACCTAGGATCTATCTTGCAAAAGAACGGAGAATTAGATGGAGATCTCAACCATAGAATACAAGCTGAATGGATGAAGTGGAAGAGTGCATCCGGCGTGTTGTGTGACCGTCGTATGCCACTGAAGCTCAAGGGAAAATTTTATAGGACGGCAATAAGGCCGGCAATGCTGTATGGCACAGAATGTTGGGCGGTGAAGCATCAACACGTACACAAAATGGGTGTAGCGGAGATGAGGATGCTTCGTTGGATGTGTGGGCACACGAGAAAAGATAAGATTAGGAATGAGGATATCCGGGGTAAAGTAGGAGTAGCCGAAATTGAAGGAAAGATGAGAGAAAATCGGTTACGGTGGTTTGGACATGTGCAAAGAAGGCCTACTGACGCTCCGATTAGAAGATGCGATTATGGGACAGAGATTCAGGGCCGAAGGGGTAGAGGAAAACCTAGGAAAACTTTGGAAGAGACTCTAAGAAAAGACTTAGAGTACTTGGATCTAACGGAGGACATGACACAGGACCGAGCACAATGGCGTTCTAAGATTCATATAGCCGATCCCACTCAGTGACTTGGATTTTCCAAGTCTCTAACCGAGAAGTTTTCCTCCCTCGGGAAATTAAAGGAACACTACCTCAACCTACATGCTCCACTCACAAAGCTTCAACATACAAGCTTCAACAAAAGAAAATTCAAAGAACTTAGCGAAGAATGCTTTGGTGTATTTAACACAATACATTGAAATGAAGGAAAGCTTATTTATTGATATCCCCGATAAGTTACAAATATGTACATATACATGAGTCAAAATAAACAAACATGAGGGAGCCTTCACAAAGGTTGCTTAGGAGAAGTCTCAGCAGTCGGTGGAGCCCCAGAAAGAGAAGGCACTGGAAGGGGATCATTTGGAGCCTCAGTACTGGACAGAACCCTAGAAGGATGAGGCATCAGAGGTTGATCATTTGGAGCTTCAATACGCGGTACAGCCCCAGAAGACGAAGGCAATAAATGTCTTTGGAACAAACCCACAAATCTCTGATGATCAAGTAAAACCTGACCATCAGATTCCTTCATCTGGTCAAGCTTCCTCTTCATGTTTGTAGCATAGTCATGTGCGAGCCGGTGCAACTGTTTATTCTCATGCTTGAGCCCTCTAATCTCCTGTTTGAGACTCATCACTTTAGCCGCCAATGATTCAACTTGGCGGGTCCGAGCAAATAGGTGTTGGGCCATATTAGACACAGAACCTGCACACTGAACACTGAGAGCCAGAGAATCCTTAACAGCCAACTCATCAGACCGTTTGGAAAGTAGTCTGTTATCCTTGGGAGTGAGAAGGTTCCTGGCCACCACCGCAGCGGTCATATTATTCTTCATCACGGAATCCTAACGGTAAGAGGACCAGTAGGGGAGACGAATGATGGGCGCCATATATTGTCTGGAGAAGGCGTGGCTGCCTCTTCAACAAGGTTCAAGTCAAAACGACGGTCGGAGGGGCCAGACATTTTCAAAGATGTTAAAGAGAGAAGAGGTCGGACAAATCAAGATCTTAGAAGTGCAAGAATGGAGCTTCTACTGGTGGAGATTCAAGTGTGCTTTGGAACTTAATGCCAGCCTCTATAAAAATCTGCACTCGATGGAGCTTCAGAAATCGAAGAGGCGCCTGCTCAGAAATTGAAGAGGCGTTTGGTTTCTCAAAAGCTGGGCTGCTCAGAGACCACGATGGTCGATCTCAGAAATCGAAGTGGCGTTTGCTTTCTCAAAAGCTGGGCTGCTCAAAAACCACGAAGGCCGATCTCAGAAATCGAAGAGGCGCTTGCTTTCTCAAAAGCTAGGCTGCTCAGAGACCACGAGGGCCGATCTCAGAAATCGAAGAGGCACCTACTTTTCTAGCCTTGTCAGCACCTGTCACACGCACTCAGCTTTGCGGAAATTATGGGCATTCTGTCGAAGATTTCTGGTGAAGTAGAAAGCACATGAATCTTACTGTTCAATCACCCACTTCCCACACGCAACATTAGCTCATGGGTACCACAGATAACTTTGCCAAAGTTCTCTGACAAAGTTGAGACACATGAAGCTTGCAGCTCCCACTACGTCGCTCTGACCAAGAAGGGTAAAAAAATAGCAAAGAAACAGCATTAACAAAGTTTAGACACATAAATTTTGAAGGTCTAGCTACCATATTATTACCCACAAGGATAAAGGAACAGTACCACTGCTGGATAATTGGAAAGTCCCTGTGTGTCAATCTCTGTGCTTCGTGGCAAGGTAGACTAGCAAACATACCCAACCTTTACTCACATTCGAGAAAACTCCCAACAAGATTGCTTGCTCCAAAATCAAAGAGGCACCGCCTTCCGAATCTCGAGAGCCAGACTCCCAACATGATTACTTTCTCAAAAATCGAAGAGACACCGCTCTCCGAATCTCGAGAGTCAGACCCCCAGCAAGATTGCTTTCTCAAAAATCGAAGAGGCATCGTTCTTCGAATCTCGAGAGCCAGATCCTCGACAGGATTGCTTGTTCGAAAACCGAAGAGGCACCACTTTCCCAACTTCAAAAGCCAGATTTCCTTGGATAAAGCTTGTCTGTAATCTTCACATGCAACATCAGCTTTCCAGATACCACAGACCACTTTTTCAAAGTGCTCTGACAGAGTTAAAACATGTGAAGCTGGCAGCTCCCACTACCGTGCTATGAGCAAGCAGGGTAAAGGAATAGCATTACTACTTGTTGTTAGGGAGACTCCTATATATGTCGACTTCCATCCCTAACGGACAGGCAGACCTGCAAAAATGCTCAACCCTTCCTCATATCTGAGAGGGCACTTCCAACGAAGCCTTTCGAAATATTCAGCTTTCTTTCCCCTCGATAATACCTCTGCAAACAAGTTATACTAGAGCAAGAATATCTCATATCATCAGGGTTAAAAGCAAGAGTATCCCATATCATGTTTTTTCCCTGTCTTTTCCTTTGGCCTTGTTCTTACCTGCAAGACAAGGAGAAAGAGAGCAATCAGTCAGCACTTGGAATCAAGCTTCCAGTCAGGAACTGACTGCCTGGAACCCCTTACCTGATTACTTACCTGGCATTGCTCTCGAGTACTCATCTTCAACATCTTATGCTTCCAGGGAAGATACCGCATCTGCCTGAGGAACAGATAGGGCAAGTGAGAAGGATACAAGGAAGCATGTGGAGACAAGCGTAACAGCACACGTGCCGATACATCCACTACTCTGTCAAAAGCAAAAGTATCCCATATCAGCAGGGTCGAACGTACTCTAGATTTGATGGACTTGTTTTGACCCTCAAATTCTTCAGTCGGCCTTATACTCTGGAGGAAACCAGAAAACCTTCCAGCCCAGTTCAAGAATAAGCCTGTGGAAAGTTACTTCTTCAAAAACAAAAGTATCCCATATCATCTCTTCTCATTTTTCTTCTCTTTATCCTTCATGCTGCCTGCAAGATAGGGAGAATGTGAACAATCAGCCGGAACTCGAAATCAAAGTTCTGATCTGGGACTGATTGCTTGGAGCTCTGATTGCTTACCTTGTCTGTCACCTCTTTCAGCAGATCCCCTAGCTCGGCGACTTGGGGGACTCCTACTACATGGTTTGTATCGCGCTTGACCAAGCCTGAAACTACAAGTAAGCTTCAAGTGAAATTGATACATTACCTTGTGCATCTCCACCAGTTAAAGATACCACCCCTGGATGGAGGAAGAGTACTTCCAGAGGAGATGTCACATCTACCTATGAGACAGATAAGGCAAGTCAAGACGATACCACACTCTGGTACTTAGAAGTTTCGTGACTACGAGATCATTCTCCCACAATATTTCCTAATGTCATTTGTACTAAATCATTCACTTGTACTCACTAAAGGAGAGTTTGAACCTATGTACTTGTGTAAACCCTTCACAATTAATGAGAACTCCTCTATTCCGTGGACGTAGCCAATATGGGTGAACCACGTACATCTTGTGTTTGCTTTCCTATCTCTATCCATTTATATACTTATCCACACTAATGACCGGAGCAATCTAGCGAAGATCACAAAAAGCGATCGTTTTCGCTACCTAGGATCTATCTTGCAAGAGAACGGAGAATTAGATGGAGATCTCAACCATAGAATACAAGCTGGATGGATGAAGAGTAAGAGTGCATCCGGCGTGTTGTGTGACCGTCGTAGGCCACTGAAGCTCAAGGGAAAATTTTATAGGACGGCAATAAGGCTAGCGATGTTGTATGGCACAGAATGTTGGGCGGTGAAGCATCAACACGTACACAAAATGGGTGTAGCGGAGATGAGGATGCTTCGTGGTATGTGTGGGCACACGAGAAAGGATAAGATTGGGAATGAGGATATCCGAGGTAAAGTAGGAGTAGCCGAAATTGAAGGAAAGATGAGAGAAAATCGGTTACGGTGGTTTGGACATGTGCAAAGAAGGCCTAGGGGTAGAGGTTCAGGGCCGAAGGGGTAGAGGAAGACCTAGGAAAATTTTGGAAGAGACCCTAAGAAAAGACTTAGAGTACTTGGATCTAACGGAGGACATGACACAAAACCAAGCGCACTGGCGTTCTAGGATTCATATAGCCGACCCCACTTAGTGGGAAAAGGCTTTGTTGTTGTTGTTGTTGTTGTTGTTGGAGTCGGAAGAGTCACCTGGATCTGATTGGTTGGTGAGAAAATCAGAATCTGCAATATCCACGTCCACCGGATCCAACATTTTATGTGTACGTTTGATGTTTGTATGCATGTAAATTGTAATTACATTAATCACTCTCTTAATCACGTAACCTGCAATGCATGTCACCAACAAAACAGATTACGAATTGCATGCAAAAATCACGTCAAACAACCTCCATTCCACTCATTCTTTCTTCTGAATCCCAACTTAAATCTGAGGAACAGGAAGGCTTTGATCTTCTGGCGTGGTGCATGTTTCTCTACCCTCCACAACACCTCTTGTCTTGTGGCCACGTGTTTCTGGAAAGGGGCAATTGAAGTTCGGGTGAAAGAATAAGAATATGATGGTGTTATTCACACTGGCCTATTTTTATTTCTGATACTCTCTTGTTAATTTTTTTTATCATTGATCTTCTTCGGTTCATTCTATATGATAGTCAAAAATTAAGAAAGTGTGTGAGAAGTAAAAACAGGTGTGTGGATAGTATTGCTTTAAGAATATCATATATTTGGGCTAAAAATTTCTTTGTAGTTACATTTTTATATATTAAACTGTAGAACAAAATAATTCTTCAATAATAGTTGTATGCGAGACACCTACCTATCTGAATGTAGAGAGGCCTATTATACTAAAAAGATCCCCCTGGTCCCTCGTGTAAATTTGTGTTATTGATAATAGAAACGTAAAGATAAAACAACAATTGGGACATCATTTACCAAAACCTTGCAAGATGAAGTAATAGAACCACTAATTTGAAAATCAGAAACCCATCATTTTTTTATATATTAAACTGTAGAACAAAATAATTCTTCGATAATAATTGTATGCGAGACACCTACCTCTCTAAATGCAGAGAGGCCTATTATACTAAAAAGATCCCCAATGAATGTATGAAAATGTGATGGCCAATAAATGTATGAAAATGTGTCACGCATTTATTCTGTGTTGATGTGATCTGCAATGACCACTAGTTTTAAGACATTGTTATAAAGTAATTAGAGGCCTATAACTGAATTGATTGAAAGTATTTGTTCTAAAACTCAATGTATGACCATATAGTTTTTTTACATTTAATCTTGATTCAACGATATTCTACACCAAATGGGATTTGGACTCAACCATACAATTAATGGGGCTAATCATAATATTCAGGTATCAAACTCGTCATTCAAGTGATTAAAACTTAAGACTTTTCATATATAAAATTATAATTAAAGAAAAATAGTAAATATGTAAATACAAGTAGACCGTAATAATAGTGACACTTATGATATGAGTTAGGGGTGTCTATATTAATTGTTCTTGAGTTTCAAGAAATTAGCGACTCATATTTTGCAAACACATCGACATGTCCAATTGCAATAAATAAATAAAAAGAAGAGAACGAGCAGTATCTATAGTAATGTTACATTAATTATTCCAAAAAAGAACAGACAATACAAGCTAAAAAGAGCGATATCTGTTTTTTCTTTTTCCATATAAAGAAAATGATGAGACATTGTTCTCTTTACAGCTTCCTGAACAAAAGACGAACTCCATGTTTTGCCTCTATAACCAGTCCAAGAGAACGTTTGTGTATGTAATTTGGAGAAAGCGAGAAGGATAACATGGACAATATGAGAGATATGAGAACTTGAGTTCAGCCATAGCAAAGTTCTGTCCAATACTCGTGGTCCGGCCCTTAACACAGGGTGACCGTCTAGGGCTTCCAAGTGGAAGGGCCCCGAAAATGTTGTGTCTTATGTGTAAGGTTATGATAAATAATAAAAATTTAAGAGCTTTAACAAAATTATTGTTACCGTATTGGTGAACTTGAAGCTAGTTTATGTTTTGGGCACGAGTTTGAGTTTATGTTTTGGGCATGAGTTTGATCCCACCAACGCTGTTGTTTCTCCTTATTTTATATTTCTTTTTCATCCGTTCAGTTTAGGCCTGGCAAACGAGCATGTTTGTCGTGTTTGTGTCATTTTTTGTCCTACTGATTATCTTAACGAGTCGTGTCGTGTCAAACTCGTAATCTTAACTGGTTCTTAACAAGCCCGTTTCATTAACAAGTCGCGTTCATGTTGGGTTAACGAGTCATACAAAAATTGTTTTGCCTAATGTCTAGATTAGACAAACAGCATCTTATTGGGTTCTTAACGAGTGACCTGACACATTAACAGGTGACTCCATAACTACTCGGCTTGTTAACAGATTGATCCAAAACTTATTATTTTTCGTGTCATTAATGTTGAGTTGAGTTAACCGATCATGCAATAAATTGTCAATCCTAGTTTAGTCCATCCATTCTATAATTATAATCCTTTCATCATTTAACAAAAAAAAAATTACACATAAAAAAATTAAGAAAGTAATCTATTCTATTGAAGCCTTTTTTTTTTTCAAACATTCTATTGAGGCCTAGGGCTTAGGGTTTGGTATTTCTTTGAGCCTTCCCCTACAACTCCATCTTCACATCACTGTCTCAATAGATTTGTAAATTAATTATCTCACAATTTAGAAGATTGGAATTTTAGGTCATCTAATTTTTAAACTATGAATTTAGTTTTTATTTGAAGTTGATCAAATAGTGTAATGCCTTCAATAGAGATTGAGTGACTTAGTTATGTTCTATTGAAAAAGGTAGGAAGGAAACTTGATAGTGTGAAGTTTTGATGCCGTAACAAGTTTTTGAGTTGATTATGTATTTCATTTTTTTGTTGCGATCGACTTGTGCTCATCAAACTATTTAATTTGACTTGAGACTCCTAGTGTACTAGATTTCCTAGTATGGACTCTCTGCCGTTCATGTTTGTGACACAATGTCATACAATGTTGGTACAAGTATTAACGTTAAACTGTGAGGTAATAGAGATGTCATAATGAGTCACACTTTAAGAAAGTCTTCTTAGCATTTCTCTAAAAAATATATACCTTCATCTCCAGAAGCAAGTAATCATTTTGATTTGATTTTAAAAATTTATCCCATTGTAATTAAATTGCATTCTTTAAAAATTTAAAGAAAAAAAAAGGATATTTTTTTGGTATTATAAAAGTTTCACCCTGTGCTTTCTCACTTTATATATGAACGCTTTATAAACATTTTGAAAATGCCTGCGGGAGGTATATCAAAATCATTTTGGCTTTGTGGTCATGGAGGCAAGTGATAACATGTCAATACATAATTGGCAGTTTCATGGGAGCCCTTGACTGTCTATCTCCCTTCACAGCACACATGTGCTAATATATACACAAAGTGTCAACCTCACCACAGATGATCACAAGTCGGCTATGGTACTGGAATCTGGAATATCGTATACGACGTATAGTGAGGTTCAATACATGAAATCAAAGACAAAGTCGTATAACTAAGAATTAAGGACCCATCATTTGTGTGAACAATAGGGTACATATTTGCAACCAACATTAAGTGGAGATGCCTAACACTTTGACTAAAATCTATGTTTTGTATATACGATCTGAACGAGATTGAAGATTTGGCATGTTACATTTGCTTCATGCACCAACAAATTTAGGTTCTATTTTTATTAAGGGATACTTTGGATGCGGTCCCTAATCCTTAACATTCTTTGATTAAAACCTTAATAGTATTCAAAGTTTGATCAAAGTCCCTTGACTTTGTACACCTCATTATATTACTATTAATATTTATATTTTTATAGTTTTGATATTAATTGTGTTTATACCATATTTAGGACCTCCGTATTTAGATCTCGTACAAATACACAGGGGACTTAAATGTAATTATGTAATAAAGGAAGGGGCAAATATGTAATAAGTGATGATCTCTTATTCTATAAAAGGACTCCTCACTAGGCCTGGGCACGGGCCGGGCCGGGCCGGGCCATGCCTAATTTTGAAGGAACCGGAGCTTAAACGAAACGGGCCGGGCTAGGCCGGGTGCATCATATTTCATTACAGGAATTGAACCGAACCCGGCCCGTTTCAAACGGGCCGGTCTGGGCCGGGTCTACGGTTCCCTTTTTTTTTTGTTGGGGAAAAAACAATTATCGTTTTGTTTAATTTGCTCCAGCAAGTTGCTCATCATATTGTCTGCTTAATTTGTTGTTTATCGTTTTGTTTGCTCTCTACCTGTATCACTATTGACAATTGCACATTTGCACATTTGCACAGATTGCATAAAGATATTACATAAAGATAAAGATATATTGTAGCAATTGCACATTTGCACAGATTGCAGCAATGCTGGCAATTGCACAGATTGTAGCAATATTGCAGCAATTGCACATAATTGCAAGTGATAGAATCGTAGGCCAGTATTTCATTAGCCATCTACAAAATTGCAAGTGATAGAATCGGTGTTCTTTGAAATAATCATAACACTTGACATACAAAACCGAATGCAGAAAACACAAACTGAAATAACACTCGTATTAAGAATCAAAATCGATATGGCATTATCAAAGTTTTCATTGCAATCAATAATATCACCTGGCATTAGTAATTAGCATTACATAGAAAACAATATCCCCACAAAATTACCCTGAACGTGCAGAGCAGCAGACCCTCATGGAATGAAATCTCCACCGAATCCCAGAAAATTCAAAACCGACAGCAATGAACAATTGAGCTGCGCAGACAATTCAATCAAAACTCAAACCAAGATATTATATATATCAAATATTTCCAAGTAATCAGCCAGATAATCAAATCAAACCCAAATCAGAAAAACTAAAAATATAAACTCGTTCCTGGTGGCGAACTCGACACCGATGGTAGACTTGGACTCCAAATTAAACTTGTTCTTGGTGAACCTGGAAAGCATGTTCGACTTTCCCACCTCAGAAAGACTTTCCCACCCCAGAAAGTCTTGGTTACGCCGATGGTAGACAGTAGCCGTCGAGGGAGTCGAGGCTCGAGGGAGTGACGGTGGAGACTGGAGAGGTAGGGCGTGGGGAGTGAGAGAGTGAGTAGCAAGGTGTGTGTGCTTGTCTGTGTGTGTGGCTTGCTTGTGGCTGGCCGGAGTCGTGTCGGAGAAGGTGGACAGAGGAGTGGCGCCGCGGATTCGAGAGAGCTGAAAGGGTTAGAGAGTGTTGGAGAGATCGAGATTCGAGAGTTACTGAGAATCCGAAACTGATTTGGATTTTGGAAACCTAGGTTACAAATTAACGGTTCAGATTGAATGATAGGTTATCATTCAATCTCGATCGTTGATTATAATTAGAAATGGGCCGGTCCGGGGCCCTATTTTTCTAAGGTTTAGGAACCGGCCCGCCCCGTAAATAACCATGGCCCACCCCGCCCCGCCCCGCCCCGTTT